CACTAGGGAGGCAGAGGCAGGCAGATTTCTATGAGTTCAAGACCAGCCTAATCTACATAGTGAGTTTCTGGCCAGCTGGAGCTACAGGCGTGGTGGCGTACACCTTTAATCCCAGCACTTGGGAAGAAGCAAAGGCAGGTAGATCTCTGTGAGTTCAAAAGGTCAGCCTGGTCTACATAGCGAGTTCCAGGACAGCTGGGGCTACAGGGAGACCCTGTCTCAAAAAAGACCAAAAAAAAAAAAAAAGATTTTTTTCAATCTCTGGGGGCCCTATGTCCTCCAGCCTAGTTTTGACCCCCGGCTCCTTTTTTTTTTTTTTTTTTGGGGGAGGCCTGGGTTTTTTGCATTTCCACATGAACAAAAAAGACCAAAAAAAAAAAAAAAAGATTTTTTTCAATCTCTGGGGGTCCTATGTACTCCAGGCTAGCTTTGAACTCCTGATCCTTCTGTTTCTATTTCTTTGGAGGTAGGTATCAGGCTTACACTACCACAGAGTCAATCTGATTCAACATTTAATAATCCAATCCTTTCCCCTTCTTTTTTGTTTTTGGAAAGCAACCCCTTCAGTAGCAATTCCCACAGGCAATGTCTAGCTAGGATGGATTACTTATTTATTCAGAGACAGGATCTCATATAGCCCAGGCTGGCCTTGAACTTATCTTCCTGCTGGGGTTATAGGTGTGGGGCCTAACATGTCTTTTTCTAGAATTTAACATTTTTCAGTTTCCAGGTATAGAGATCAATCAACAGAATTCCTTCATCTCATTAGACTCCACCCAGAACTCAAAACGTTCCAGGCAGTGGAGATACATTTAATAAGACAGGACCCTTATGTTTTATATCAGTTTGTATATTGCTTGCAATTTGGGAGGTCTGGCTAGCTTATCGGTTATTGGGTGGAATTGGTAGCACAGAGTCTTTTAAAAGTTCATTTTTCTCTCAGAAAGACCAAACACACTAAGGCAGTGTTCAGTTGCTTTTTCAATATGCAGGGCTGTTTGTTAACTACCAAAGTAGCTGTTTCCTCCTGTACATTTTCAAGGTCTTCAGACCTCCACCCAGAGGTCTGCTTTGACAGGTAAATTTACTTCCTCACTCTTCTGGGAACCTATTTTAACTAGTGCTAGTTAGCATCTTCCAGCCAGTCAACAGCAGAAATTCCTACAATAATCTCTCCTTAGTCATGCTAGCTCTGAAAACCAGCAAGTCTTTGTTTTACTCTAAAACTGATGATCCAAGCCCGGCGCGGTGGTGCATGCCTTTAATCCCAGCACTCAGGAGGCAGTGGCAGGCAGATCTCTGTGAATTCAAGGCCTCCTTGGTCCACATAGTGAGTTTCCAGGACAGTGGAGCCACAGAAAGACCCCGTCTCAAAAAGACCAAAAAAATAAAATATAATAAAAATAAAACTGATGATCCATATGGGTTTTTTTTTTTTTTTTTTCCTGTTGGGGGGAGTCTTTTGGAGACAGGGTCTCCCTTGTAGCCCCAGCTGGTCTGGAACTCACTACTTAGACCAGGCTGGCCTTGAACTCAAGAGATCTGCCTGCCTCTTTCTCCCAAGTGCTGAGATTAAAGGCGTGCACCATCACGCCCAACCCAAATGGATTTCCTTATCTAAAACTGAAGCTCCTTATTTTACATCATGCTTTTGTTTGGAAATGTAAAACCAAACTAGGAAGTTGTGACAAGGCCTTCAGTAAGCATTCAGGAAGGTCTCTTCACTGGCAAAGGTGGCCCCTCCCAAAACCCACAGGTATAAATTTTAGCTGCTCGATAAGAGATACCATTAACACAGGATCATAGCACAGGTCCTTTAAAAGGTCTGTCTCCTGATGATCCTCAGAAGTTCAAGACCATCCTCTACTATACAGCAACCTGAACATGAGACCCTGTCTCAAAACTCAAAAGTTGAGTAACTGGAGAGATGGCTCAGTGGTTAAAAGCACTGGCTGCTCTTTCATAGGACCCAGGTTTGATTCCCAGCACCCACATGGTAGCTAACTATCCACAACTCATTTCAGGGGACCCAACGCCCTCTTGTGACCTCTGCAGGTATTGCAGTGCACTTACATACATGCAGGCAATACTCTCATACACATTAAATATTAAAACATTCCTTTGATCCCAGTACTTGGGGGACACAGGCTGTTGGATCTCTGAGTTCCAGGTCAGGTGGGTGGCTGGGTGGGGCTACAGGGAGACCGTTTTAAAGACTAAAATATATTTCTGTGTGTGTGTGTGTGTGTGTGTGTAAGTGTGGTGGCACCCACCTTTTGTCCCAGCACTTGAGAGGCATGGAATTCCTGCAAGCTTTGTCTATATAGGACTTCCAGGCCAACCAGGGCTACATAGTGAGAGCCTGTCTCAAAAACACAAAAAACAAAATTCTCCCTGGGTGTGACAGTACACACAAGTAATCCCAGCACTCAGAAGGTGGAGGTAGGAGGACCAGAAATTCAAGTTATCAAAGTTTAAGGCAAGTTCCAGGCCAGCATGGATACTTGAGATCTTGTACTAAAAAGGGTCAGCAAGATGCCTCAGCAGGTAGCTAGAGAATGCATTAGAGGTTTAGGGTTGAGAGTCATTGCTCCACTTGGGAGAGACAGGCAGGGGGTTCACTTCTCAGCACCCACATCAGGAAGGTCACACTGGCCTGTTAAGTCTAAGTCCAGAAGATCCGACATCCTCTCCTGATCTCACATGCATGCACACATACACATAGGAATAAATTTTTTTTGGTTTTGTTGAGACAGGGTCTCCCTGTAGCCCCAGCTCTCCTGGAACTATGTAGACCAGGCTGCCCTTGAACTCAGAGACCCGCTTGCGTCTGCCTCCTGAGTGCTGGGATTAAAGGCGTGCAGGAATAAATCTTTTAAAAACAAAAGATGGCTCTGCAGGTAAAGGTGCTTGATGCCAAACCAAGCTCCTGATTACCTGTTTAATCCCAAGAACCCACATGGGTGGAGAGAACTGACTTACACAAGGTGTCCTCTAACCTCCACATGGGTTCTCTGTCTAAGAATAATGTTTGAGAAGGGTGTGGTGGCACAGGCCTTTAGTCCCAGCACCTGGGAGGCAGAGGCAGGCAGATCTCTGTGAGTTCTGGGCCAATATGGTCTACATAGTGAGTTCCAGGCCAGCTGGGGCTACCCGGAGACCCTGTCTCAAAAAAACCAAAAAAATAAAAATAAAAAACCAAAACAAAAAAAACTAAGGCAGGATGAATCTCAAGACACAGCTCACAATAAACTTTATTGAAACACACATACACTCATAGGGGCCCGCGTCTTTTCAGTGTTTAGTAGTATAAGACAGGTTCTCCTCCCCTAAGAGAGGAGATAGCCCCATAGCTCCAAGCTATGTCCAGGACTGGACTTGGCTAAACTGGTCTGGACCAGCCAGCTGGGAGAGGCCCAGCTGGGAGAAAATGCCCCCAGGCCTTTGTCTCAGGTGAAGAAGCCATCTTTGTAACTCATCAGTGGTCTTTTCCTGTTTGCTAACTCTCAGTTCCTCTGCAAGTAGGACACTGGTGTGAACACACAGAAAGAAACAGAACACCAACAGCTGGTGTCCAGGATGGACGTTTCCAGGAACCATGGGAGTGCCATGCAAACAGAACATACCAGAAAAACTTATGACACATACCTAATGGGAGAAAAAACATTCAAAATTTATTTTCTGACAGTATCAGCAGGTAAAACTACAGTGGTGTCTTGGAGTCACACATTCATTCACAAGGTGTGATTGGATGACAGTAAGATTGGATGATGTGTTATCTGTAAAAATACCCACTTCACAGTGTAAACAGGTGAACAGGAACAAGCAAACGCTGCTTTCTAAAGCATCCACTTACAATTCTAGAAGGAAAGGCACGGCTTGGCAAAAAACAAAAAAAAAGGATCCTAAAATCAGGTGCAATAACTAAGAGGCAAAACTTTGGACAGTCTCCAGACTCACTTTGGCAAGGGGCTTCGACAAAGTAAGAAGAATTCTCTATGTAAAAGGTCTCTCCTTCATTAAACAGAGCACTGTTCATTCTATCAGCTGCTCAAAATTATTACGTGTACAAAAATGGAAGTGAAAAAAAAAACAAAAAAACAAAAGGAACCACAAAGACATCTTGAACCATTGTTATCACCCAACACATCAACTCTTAGGTTTAAGAGGATGCCTAGAAACACTTTGGCAGTGACAAAATAGGAAAATAGAGACTATTTTTTTTTTTTTGCTACAAAAATAAAAACAATCAATGAGGTAGATAAAGCTCTTATACCCAGGACTTGACTGTCCCAATATCGTAGCCTTCATGCAACATTCAGGAGGGAAGTAAAAATCTTCATGACTTGGAATAAGTTTCACAAAGAAAATTAAAACAGTAACAAAAACCAAACAGGTGAACCTGGGGATAGGAAACTCGATTCCAGAAGTTTCTTCTCGGCGACAATGGAGATTATCTATCACCTGAACCTGAGGTCTCTGGCTCTGGTCCTGCCTCCCTCCAGGGTCTGGGGGGGATCAAGATGCCTGGGGGATACAGGGAGCAGTTGGCACGCTTGCGGCTCCAAACTGTATTTAAATAAGCAGCAGGCACAGACATGTGCCTCCCCCTAAGGACCAAAGCCAGTCAATGCAGGGCATCCTATTAGAGGCTCTAAGGTTGAAGGAAGTGGGTTAATTCTATTACCTTAGGTTTTTCTGAAAATTTTTAGTTTTTTTTTTTTTTTTTTTCTCTTTTCTTTTTTCCCTTGTGTCCGTTTACCCGCATATCATCACCATGGAAGTACACAGCACCCTCCCCCTCCTTTAGGCTAAGAAGCCATCTCTTCCACTGTGGCCCACTGAGTCAACTGTATTCACCACTCCAGGTTGTACAAAGCTATGTACAGTTTGTCCCAAGTAACAAAGCTACTTTTAAAGACCCGCTTCTTTCCAAAATTTAAAAAAAAAAAAAAAAAATCTAGTCCGTTTTTGGTATGATTTTTTTTTGTCATTTTTTCAATTTTCCTCTTTTTTGGCTTTCATTTTTGGCAAAGCAGCATAGCAAGAATCATGATTGTAGGACTGCCCAAGGCTGTGGTCACAGGTGTAAACATCATTTCATACCAGGAAGAGAGAACTAAAGCAGGAGATGGGGTAAAAACTGAGATGAGGATCCCACTTCTTGCATCTCCTCCATCTTAGCTGACAGCGATCTTGTTTTCTTCCAGGAAGTGAGGGAACTGGTGTTTGGACACACCATCCGGTACTCCCGGCTTTTCCACATCACCACTGATGCCTGATTGGGAACCGTCTATCTTGGAGATGGTAGAACTGCTGACCACGGAGCTGGCTCCCAGGGACACGGGAAGGGTGGGGATGCCCCCGCTCTGGATCACCGAGATCTCATTGGTCTTCATGGCGAGGCCTCCATTGAGAACACCAGTGTACTGGCTCCACACAGCAGGGTCCACACCCACAGAGGCCGGGGACAGGAGTTCCTTGGGAAACATCTCAGAGACTCTCTTTCCATCTGCACTCAACAGAGCCATGGTGTTTTCAATAGCCAGCTTCCTTCCCCGGCGGGCAGAGTTATTGTTGGCACCATGTGTCATGTAGTGAACCTGTGGTTGGGAACAGGACAGAGGGTTTCATCAGACAGACGCCCCTTCTTGTTGGGAAGCCCTAACAAACTCCAGAAGGACAAACCCCATTTATATCTTTGTGCTGGGACTTCATGCCAGGTGTGGTGGGGCAAGCCCCTGATCCCAGTACCTAGCACACAGAACTGTAAGGATTCCTGAGTTCAAGTGCAGCCTAGGTTATAATAGTGAGAATAGGAATTTCACTTAAAAAGCAATGGGGGGCGGAGCTAGAGAAATAAATGGCTTATAGGTTAGGAGCACTGGCTATTCTTGCAGAACCAGGTTCGATACCAGCATTCACATAGGGGCTAACAATCATCTCTAATTCCAATTCCAGTGGAATCTGACGCCCTCTTCTGACCTCCTAAGGCAGTGCATGACATGGATGCACTTACATACATGCAGGTAATACACTCATACAGGAAAAATAAAAGTCATAAAATAAAATACCTTTTAAAAAAGCAATTAGAGCTGGGCATGGTGGCGCATGCCTTTAATGCCAGCACTTGGGAGGCAGAGACAGGCGGATCTTTGTGAGTTCGAGGCCAGCCTGGTCTACATAGTGAGTTCCAGGACACAGCTCGGGCTACAAGGAGACTGGGTCTCAAAAAAAAGACCAAAAAAAACCAAAAAAACAAACAAAAAAACAATTAGAAGACAAAACAAAAGTAATTAGAAGCCAGACATGGTGGCATATGATTTTTTTTTTTTGGGGGGGGGGGCTTTTTGAGACAGGGTCTCCCTGTAGCTCCAGCTGTCCTACGTAAACCAGGTTGGCCTTGAACTCAGAGATGCGCCACCACACCCTGCAAGGCACATCATTTTAATCCCAGCACTCAGGAGGCAGAGGGAGGCAGGTTTCTAGGAATTCCAGGCCAGCTGGGGCTAGACAGAGACATCACATCACCCACACACATATGCACTCACATCATGCTGCTCTAGGAGTCAGCACTGGACTTTTTTCTTGAACTCCTATTCTTCCTGCCCCAATGTCCCCACCTCCCAAGTGGTAGTCACCACACTCAGTTTAAAAGGTGCTCTACTAGCCATAGAATCCATGTTTTCATGAATATCAGGTTAGCACTCCCTAGCTCCCCACTCTCATATGTCAAGTCCTCTTAATCTGAGCCGTCTCTCCAGCCCCCATTAAAAAAACCAGCCAAGTACAACAGGGTCTTCATACACAGCTCAAGCTAGCCTTGAACTCTACCCACCCTCTGCATCAGCCCCCAGAGCGCTGAGGTTACAGGTGTGCACTACCACACCTGGCCACAGTGCTTATCTTTACCACCAAGTTTAAGACAGTGCAACTTGAGAGGTTGAAATGAAGTCTTTAATCCCAGCACTTCTCAGCTGGCCTTGATCTTAGAGATCCACCTGCCTCTGCCTCCCAGGTGCTGGCGCTAAAGGCATACGCCACCACACTGGGCATATTTTTAAAAAAAAACTTATCAACAGAGAGGTGCCACACACCAACCATCCCTCACAAACACCCTTGAGCACCTACCTTCAGGTTGCCCTTGGTGGTAAAAGCTCGGCCACAGATGTTGCATACGAATGGTTTCTCTCCCGTATGTGTCCGCTCGTGGATCTGAAGGGCACTGGCCGAGGAGAAGTTTTTCCCACACCGTGTACAGCAGTGTTGCTTGGCCTGTCGGCGTGGCTGGGCTGTTAGCAAAGGTGTCATGCCTGGGGACATGGTGGAGGGTCCGACAAACGTGCCGGGAACTTCAACTTTGACATAGGTAGGCTGTGCTCGGATAAACGTTGATGGGAGACTGGTGCGACCTAGTGTGTGGAGGGGAAGAAATCCAAACTTTTATCATCTAATACAATTCATTGTTTGAAACAAAATGAACTTTTGGCAACAGTTGCCCATTAAGCATGTGTAAGTGGCTCACAGAAAATTTACACTTCAAAAACAGCTTGCTCTGAATTCTTGTGCCTGTGTGTGCCGTGGAGGTCTGAGGACTGACAACCTGGGGTGTTGTTCTTCTGGTGTTATCCACCTTTTTGTTTAAGACAGGCTCTCTCACTAGTCTAGAACTTTGCCAAGTGGGCTAGGCTAGTCAGCCAAGGAACTCCAGTGACCTGTCTCCATGTCCTGTCTTAACCCTACTTGTTACAACCATGCCCCACCATGCTCATCTTCTTTATACAGGTTCTGGAGATCAACCAGCTTACAGGGCTTTACCAACTGAGCCATCTCCCCAGCCCAGCTTCTCTGACTTATTTATACAAAAAACTAAAAATACATTCCCTTACAGACAGGCCTGCAATGCTAACTACTTGGGAAGCTGAGGTAGGAGAATTGCAGTGTTCAAGGCTTGCCTGGTCTACAGAATGAGTTCAAAACCAAACTAAGCCAATCTCAAAAAGAGACAGAGAGAGAATGAATCTGGGGCTTGGCAGCACACGCCTTAAAACCCAGCACTCAGAGGACAAAAGCAGATCCTGTGAGTTCCAGTCTACAGGCTAGAGCTACACAGTAAGACTGTCTTTAGTATGTCCCTGTGGGGTAAAACACAAAAACAAAAACCATGCTGTCCACACTCAACTTGTGTTATTCATGATAAATAAAAAGCCTGCTTGGTGCCAGGACAGAGGCAGGCATTAGATCCCGCTACCCAGAAGCACAGAAAAGCCAGTTGCTCCACAGGAGCTTCAGGTCACACTGTCAAGTTCAACCCAGGTTCCTTTTTGATGACCTTGAGCCCCAAACGGACATTAAACTCCATCACCTTCCATCTCAGAGCGGCTGCTCTCAGGACCCTGGGCCTTGCTCCCCTCGGGAGATGGAGACTTGACACTTTCTGCTTGGCTAGTGGCGGGGGAAACTGCCTGGAAGGACATAGTCTCCATGACTTCCGGGCTTCGGCTCTGATATTCCTGGTCCCCCAGGAGTGAAGATGAGTCGTTAGTCAGGCCGTCGCTCTCCACTGAGCCGTTCTCTCGGCTGCTCTGCCGCTGCAGGCCCAAAGAGGTAGGACCCCCTTTTCCTGCCACATCTAGAGAAGCCACCACAGAGAAGCCCAGAGTGGGTGATGCCAAATGGGTGCTGGGATGTGGTGCAGAGACCTTCGAGGGGCCACTGGGGACCTCCTGGGAGCAGACTTGGTCGACATCGACCACGTCGTCCTGGCAGACGGGACCAACGCTGCCATTCTCGCTGACAGCGATGGGCTCTGGACCTGTGAAGTCACAGGGACTCTCTGGCAGGGGTGTGTTGGGGATCTGGCCACCCATGTGCATCCGAATGTGCTGCTGGAGCATGACTGCGTTGGTAAACTTCTTGTGACAGATGGGGCAGGAATGCTGTGTCTTTGTGGATGTGCTGGTTCGGTGAACCCCGAGGTGTGTCTTCAGGTTCCCTTTGGTGGAGAAGGCCCGGCCACAGATCTTACACTGGAATGGCCTCTCCCCGGTGTGGGTACGGTAATGCATCTTGAGAGAGCTCTGGCAGCTGAGGACTCGGTGACAAATGAGACACTCGTTGGGGTCGGTGGTAGCCTTGTCAATGTTCTCCACCAGCTGTTGCAACTTCAGCGTCTCTGACCCTGACTCGGGGGTCCCACTCCCATGGAAAGCCCCAACCCTTGGGGGATTATGCATGGGCCCCATCCCAGGTAGTGGGGGTCCCACCTCACTTTCTGGAGAAGGCCCTGGCTGCAGGTCGTTGGGCAGGGAGTCACCCATGAGGTCCTTGGCGTGAGGCCCGGAAGAGAGATTCCGAGGTGACACTATGGAAGGGGTCCCTGCAACAAGAACGGGTTTGCTGTCTATAGACAGGCTGGCTTCATCTACAGGGATGATGGGGAGCGAGAGTGCATAGGGGGGGCCGGGGGCTGGAGCCACCTTGTCCTGGAATTCAGCAAACAGCTGGGGGTTTGCTTTCACCTGGGGGTGTCGGTGAAAGTGCACCTTGAGGTTGCCCTTGGTGGTGAAGCGATGACCACAGACAGAGCACACGTAGGGTCTCTCTCCGGTATGGGAGCGGAGGTGGATCTGCAGGGAGCTATCAGTCCCAAAAACCTTGCCACAGTACTTACACTTGTGTTTGCTGAGAGTGGCCTCGTCCTTGGCCTTGCCATCCACCGATGAGGCTGAGATGTTTGGTGGCTTCCCTTTCCCTTTCTTGGACGGGTCTAATGCCACAGCAGAGAAAGGGCTCTGGAAGAGCACAGAGCCCGGGGTCTGAGGTAGCAGGGTGCTTGGGAGGCGAGACATGAAGTTAGGGAGTACCCGAGGCCCGTCGGGCTTCAGGGTAAAAGGTGTCATTCCTGAGGACAGCGGGCTGGCTGTGGATGGGACATTGGTATGAGGTAGCTTGGCTTGTTTCAAGGCATCTAGAGACAGAGCCGGGCTCGTGGCTTTCTGGCTGAGCAGAGCCACGGCGGCTGACACCTGCTGGGACACATGGCTGCTTAAGGTCTTCAGAGAGTCAGCACCAGCCACACCAGAGTGGAGGGCATGGGTGGCCCACATGTTCACCTGGACCCGGATCTGCTCTGTGAGCTGAATCTGCTGTAGCTGCTGCTGTTGCAGACATAGGATCTGTTCCAGGACCCACGGGATGCTGTGGACAGCGGGCACTGGCACCGGAGGGACCTCCGCACTCCGCTGGTTCACAGCCACCTTGGTGCCACGGAGTGCCTGCAGAGTCACATTGGTGTTGGTCACTTTGCCTTTGGGTAAATAGCTTATGTCCTGGGGGATGGGTGGTAAGGCAGGCTCTGTCTTCAAGTACAGGACAGGCTCGGTGGCAGGCTTCTCCTTCGAGTCTCCGGAGCTGCCAGTGCTGTCCCTAAGAGTGTCCTTACTGTTTGGGCTGGGTGGCTGGTGGCTCAGGACAGCTCTGGAGAAGTCGTCTGAAGGCACCGGCCCCTCACTGTCGTTCATGATGAGGACAGGAGGATTCTTAGTGCAAGATTTCTTGTGTTCCACGAACTCAGAGAGGCTGAAGAACTCAGCACAGCACTTCTCACAGATGTGAGTCTCCTCCCTCCGGGGCCGCTTCAATGGGGCTTTGTCCCCTATGGCTCCTTCATCATTTCCTGGCAGGTTCGTTGCACCTGTAACGAGAGAGAAAAGGAGATAATAACGCTGCCCTGGAAAAGGGTGTGGGTGTGACTGACAGTGACTTACAATAGACAGATGAGTCTCTGTTACCCAAGGCCATTTAAGTGACTTAAAGAGTCCTACAGCCTGAATAAATGGGTTATGGGGCAAACTGTGTCCCCTGAGAAGCCACAGCCAGTTCCCACCCCCTGTGCATATGATTTAATCTAGATAAAGTTGTTTGTTTGAGGCTGGTCTCACTTACTGCACAGTCCTGGCTGGCCAAGAACTCACTATGGAGACCAGACTGGCCTGGAATTCACAGATATCTGTCTGCCTCTGCCTCTCTGCCCCTGAATGCTGGCATTAAAAGTATATGCTGAGATGCACTGATTTTTTTTTTAGAGCCATGTGAGGACCAAAGCAAAGTTAATATAACTAAGGGGTCAGAAGTCAAGGATTGGTGAAACCAGTTTAGTCTGCCTTAGAGCCAACAGGAGAAACCCTGATGCCCCATAAATTCAGACATTTACCTTTCCACACCTATAGAAGAAAAGTGGTTTTTAAGCTACCCAGCTTGTGGTAGTTTGCTATAGCAACTCTAGGTTACAGCTTTATTTTATTATTTATTAATTTCTTAGATAGGGTCCTATTTTATAACTCAGGCTAGCACTGGACTCACAGCAATCCTCCAGCCTTGGCCTCCCAAGTCCTGGGATTACACCCAACTAGATGGTTTATTATACTAACCCTGGTCAAATCCTCTGTGCCTCCCTCCCAGCTGGCTTTCAGAGGCCAACAAATAGGAGCTAGCCAAATACCAAGAACATTGGAACTGGGTCAAACCCCACCTGATCTCCACCCTGAACCAAGTAACCAGCGGTGAACACTCACCTACCAGGATGACAGAAGTTTAAAGGTGCCAACAAGATAGCATTAATTCATCCCAAATAATTCACTTCTGCGGGGCCTGATGGTTCAGGCCTGTAATATCAAGTACCTTGGAGGCTGAGGCAGGAAGACCAGAAGTTCAAAGCCAGCCTGGTACAGAGAGTTCCAGGTCAGCTAAAGGAACTTAGTAACGCCCTGTCTCCAAATAAAAAAATAAAGAGGACTCAGTGGTTAGAGCTTCCCTGGCATGCAAGACGCCCTGGGTAAACTTTATAGGAAAGACAAGAATATCCCAGAAATATCATGCACAGGGGCTGGAGTGATGGCACAGAGGTTAAGAGCACTGACTGCTCTTGCGGAAGACCCGGGTTAGATTCCCAGCACCCACATGGAGGCTATGAACTGTCCTTAACTCCAGTTCCAGGGGAATCCAACTCCCTCTTCTGACCTCTACAGCACTGCAGTACACAGGTGCAGTCACATACATGCAGGCAATACACTCATACATATAATAAAATATTTTTTAAAAAAGATATAAGACAGCCGGGCATGGTGGCGCACGCCTGTATTCCCAGCACTTGGGAGGCAGAGGCAGGCAGATCTCTGTGAGTTCAAGGCCAGCCTGGTCTACATAGTTCCAGGACAGCTGGGGTTTACAGGGAGACCCTGTCTCAAAAAGACCAAAAAAAGAAAAAAGAAAAAGACGTAACACAGACTTCACTGTCCTTTCAATTGAAAAGCCCACCACAGCACCAAAGATCTGGAGGGAAAATAAACCTTTATGCAAAAACAGAAGTAGAGGAAAGAAAACGGATGTTTAACAACCCCCTTAGAAGCTCTACTGCTAGAATTCTCCTTCTTAAAATCAAGTACAAAAGATCCAGTTCAGGACTGGTCTACTCTTTTTCTTCATTCATTCATTTGTTCAACATAATGTATATGAGTATTTTGCCTACATGTGCAGTATGTAAGTGCACTATATGCGTGCAATGCTCATGGTAGTCAGAAGAGGGTGTCAGATCTCACAGTTGTTAGCAGCCACGTGGGTGCTGGGAAATCAAACCCCAGTACTGAAAAAAAAAAAAAAAAAAAAAAAAAAAAAAAAAAAAAAAAAAAAAAAAAAAAAATAAAAAAAAAAAAAAAAAAAAAAGCCGCACATTTTATTTCTTTTCTTTGTGCATGCCTCAGCGTGTTTGTGGAGGTCAGAGGAAAACTTGTAGGAGTCTGTTCTACTATGTAGTTCCTGAGGATGGAACTCGGGTCATAAGGCTTGGTGTTAACCACCTTTACCCCCTACATGCAAGCGATACACTCATACACATGAAAATAAAATGTTAAAATAAATAAATAAAACAAAATCAATTCCCAGATAGGTGCCACTGCTACACACAATTTCCCAGAAGTCTGAATGGGGTGCTGATGGGGGGTGGTGCTCAGTGGCCCAAGTCTTGTGGGCTGGTGGGAGGGCTCAGTGGGTAAAGCACCTGCCACTTACCCTGACAACTGAGTTAGATCCCGGGGACCCACATGGAGGAAGAAGTGACCTCCCTTCCCAAGTTGTCTATGACCTCCAGAGGAGCATGCTCACACATGAAACAAAAAGGAAATTAAGCCCTTACAGTACAAGCCTGATTTCCTGCGTTTTATCCCCAGAACCCACTTTAAGTTGAAGGAGAGAACCAACTCCATAGTCATCCTCTGCCCTCCACACACTCACCATGGTACATCATGACACCTGCACATGCACACACACACACACACACACACACACACACACACACACACACACACACAGAGAAAATGAAATTTGGGGCTGGAGAGATGGCTCAGAGGTTAAGAGCACTGGCTGCTCTTGCAGACGACCCGGGAAGTGCCTGGGTTTGGAGGTTGACCACCCTCCATAACTCCAGTTCCAGGGGCTCTGACCGCTTCTGACCTCCTCAGGGACCGCGTGACACGGGTACACTTAAATACATACAGGCAACACACACAAAATAAAAATAGCAAAATATTTTCTTAAATCTTTTTAAATAAAAAGGAAAAAGGGAGAAAGGCCGGGCATGGTGGCACACACCTTTAATCTAGGCCAGTCTCATCAACATAGTGAGTTGTTGAGAAGAACCTGTCTCAAAAAAAAAAGGAAGAAAATTCTGTGCCGTGAGCTTTTCAAGTTTCGTGCAGGCAGATATGCATGGATGTGCTTCTTCCCGGAGTTGACACCTGAATTAAATTTTAGTGTTTTTCTCTGACTGACAACTCCCCTGTTTGTGACAAGGATATTTCTTGTATTCCTCATATTTAACAAACAGCAGTATTACTCTGGGCGTGGTAGTGCAGGCCTTTAAACCCAGCACTCAGGAGACAAAGGCAGGTGGAGCTCTGCGTCCAAGGACTGCCTGGTCTATATTCTGGGGACAGGTAGATAATAATAAACCATAATAACACAAAAGGATGGCCCTTGGCACATCAATAAGTTTCTAGGCAAGTTAAGTAGAAATAATCTAAACATGGGATAGAAAACTATATTCATCTTTGTGCCAAGCTGTCATTTAAATTAGCACCACATACCTCCAAGGTACACAGCCACTGGGGTCTTCAGTCTGCCAAGGCGTTTTTCCTCGAGACAGGGTCCTGTATCCCAAACTCTCTAAATCCTAGAACTCCTAATCCTCCTGCCTCAGGCTCCAAGTGCTGGAATTACAGGTATGCATCACCACACCCAGTTTTAGATTTTCTGCAATGCTGGGAAACCCATCTAAGCTACAGTCTCACCTACTTTTGAAGGGCCAAAGTATTCTCCTCAACCAGATAGGCCCTCACAGCACTCTCCACAGACTGCACTGGGCCACGTTGTCAATCCCACAATCTCACAAGTATCCATCCTTGTTCCAATTTCACAAACGTGGACAGAGGCTCAAAAAAGAAGGAAATGGGAGCCTGGAGAGATGGCTCAGTGGTTAAGATCACTGGCTGCTCTTACAGGGGACCCAGGTTCAATTCCCAGCACCCACATGGCAGCTAACAACTGTCCCTAACTCAAGTTCCAGGGGATCTTACACCCTCTTCTGACCTCCACAGGCACTGTACGAACTGGGTGTACCTTACATGCAATACACTCATACACATAAAATAAAAATAATAAAAGGAAGTGACCGGAGGTGACAAGAGCTGTCTCTCAAATCTCTTTCATTCAACCTCTGGAGGCTTCTTCAGTTTTTCCCCTAATTGCCTTACCTCCCTCAGGAAAATTTAGTGTCATAAATGTGTCTATTGTGACTCTTTGGAGGGTAGCACAAACCATCATTGTAATCCAATGTTTCATCTCACTCAAAATAGATTTCTCTTGGACAGCAATATCCTTACGCTGAGTATGTTTTATCTATGTTCTCTCTATGACAAGCTCATTTAATTTTTTGTGAGTGCTAGGGACTGAACCAAGGTCTTGAACATACTAAGCATAGGTTTTAGTACTGAACTACACCTGAACCTTCAGCTCCTAAAGCAGGTGAGGCGTTTGTTTGCTTTGAGGTAAGGTCTAGCTATATAGCCTAGATTATTTTTTAATTCACTATGTACCTCAGGCTGGCCAAAAACTCATGGCAATAATCCTTCCTCAGCCTCCCAAGTGCTGGTATTATAGGCATATGTGGCTGCCTTGGGCTCTAAAGCAGGCCATTCTTAATCTGGAACTCATGAAATTTAGGAAAACAAGCAAATACCAGCATCTTTATTATCAAGATATTGACCAAAAATTTAACATTTCTTTCAGTTAGGCATGCAAGAAACAATTCATTAATATGAGCAGAGCATAAGGCCATCAAAACCAGCAACTACAAGCAAGTATTTTCCTAGGGAGCTCTGGCTCTTGTACTTCCAGCAAAATTCTAACAGTTGTCCAACATACCAGACCTTATTGCTTATTTTATTAATTAATAAAAAGATACATGTTACTATTGCCTTCCCCTAGTATTTATAAGGGGGGGGGGACGGATGATTCCAAGACCCCCATGAACACCAAAGTCAGTGGGTGCTCTATGGCATAGCATTTACTAACAACTAGTAGACAGGTACTAGTCCACAGGTAAGCCTTAGCCCACCCCCATACTGGGGATTAAACCCAACA